TAACTACATCTAAATAAATATTATAGTCCTATCTGTTGTCTGTCCATGTAACTACTTCTAAATAAATATAATAGCCCTATCTGTTGTCTGTCCATGTAACTACATCTAAATAAATATTATAGTCCTATCTGTTGTCTGTCCATGTAACTACTTCTAAATAAATATTATAGTCCTATCTGTTGTCTGTCCATGTAACTACTTCTAAATAAATATTATAGTCCTATCTGTTGTCTGTCCATGTAACTACTTCTAAATAAATATTATAGTCCTTTCTGTTGTATGCTTAGAGCAAGAGGATTAAACACATTCATAATATGGTTGTATCCAGGGAATTTAATAAAGTTCTTTAAAAACAAAATTCTTATTGACATTCTGGTTCTAATATTTAAAACCTTATAGCTTAACTTTTTATGTGCAGAGAGAAGGAATTGCCTTGAAGGTTGATGGGAAAAGTCCTTGTTTGGTGAATTTAAATGAGGACCCTCAGTTGTCAGAAACTCTGTTATATCTTCTTCACCCTGGGCGGACTCGCCTCGGTAGGAAGGACAACTCCAGTGATGTCGAGATTCAACTGCATGGAAGTCTACTTAGCAGGGAACATTGGTGAGCTGTGTCTCTCGTTATAATATACACGCACGCACATCTGTACATAGATTGATATATGTTGATCTATACACATACGTTGGACACTAGAAATTAATTTTTTAAAGTAAGACCTAATTTATACATTCATTGAGTTTCTGAACATAATAATTGGAGTTTTTTTTATTAAGTTTAACTATCAAGCATGTTGATTGTGATAAAACTTTATCAGTGCCAAGGCATAAGCTTAGTTCTTAAGACTCCACTGCTAATCAGAACGGAGCATATTTGTTTGACCGTGTCTATCCATCCCAAGCAGTTTTTGTGGATGGGTCATCTCAATATTAGATAGACGGATTTTGACCAAACTTATACAACAGGTATTAATTACAAAGCTCTAGATTAGTTAACTCGTGGAGGTTAGAGGGTCAAGATCAAAGTGTTTCTTTTTGATTGATAACTTTGAAATTAGCCAACTTTGATGGAAGTTAATTTTTTTATATAGACATCTTTTCTTACATCTTCAGTCTTTAGGGTAGGTGATACAGGTTTCATGTTCTAATTGCCAAATAACATTTCTTAAAGGATACCCCCAAGGACATAGTAATCATATGTGCGTGTGTGATGTTAGTTTTTTTTATTGTGATTTATGGTAATTTTGTGTGTTTTAATAAAACTTGATACCAAAGATTAAATATATGGCCCTTTCAAATAATATGAGGATTTTTTGTAACTTTAAAAAAATGTGCTAATCTCAAAGCATTTCTATTGTTGCTTCTTTAGTAACCTGGAATGGTAAAGTATGGAATATTTTATACTATTTGCAACTGAAGTTGCTATAGTTTTTTTTCTAAATGATGTTTGTACTTGTGTTATTACCGTGAGAGTAAATCGGAAACGAACAACCGTTTTTTTTTCAGCACTTTGGAAAATAATGAAGGAAAAGTCAAAGTAATTCCAATGCCAAATGCTCCTGTTTATGTAAATGGGCAAGAAGTCATAGAATCAACAGTATTACAGCACGTAAGTATTTATTTTATCTTTCTCTTCTGTGGATATTTCAGAAAATTTTAGTTTTATTGCAGACTTTTGTAAACTAATGGTGTTCAAAATGGGAAGAATAAAAATAAATAAATTAATTATAACAGCACTTGTATGTGTGTGTGTTTATATATATATATGTTCACATACATTTAAAAGGAATACAAGTTAAAATAGTTGTACAATAAATTATTTATTAATAATAGAGACTAGCCCTAAAAAGACTATATAATTTGGTGTTCTTTCACCACCATCTTCTGACCTTGTATTTCTTTTAATTGTAGATAAGAATATAATTGTTACAATTTTTCCTTTTTGTTTATATTTTATGACTAAGAATGAAGTTTCATTAGAAAATGGTTTAATACTTGTTTAAACTAAATGCTGTTAACTGATAGCGTAGAGTCACAACACTGAATACTAATATATAATTCGTAATGGGTTTTGTTTCTAATTACAGGGGGATCGTCTTGTCGTTGGTGGTGTACACTTCTTTAGGTAAGTGTAAAGTTATATTATTTTCTGTAGTTCTGGTTCTGAAGATAGCTGCCTACACGTTTAGATTAAATAAACACCCTGAATTGTTTACAAAGTTTTACGGCTGTCAAGGCTCCAATGGCTATTAATTATTCAATTTCGTATTTTTGCTGACTGTTATCATGCTTCCTCATAAAATATGTTTATTGTGTTTTGGTACAGACTCAATAACCCATGCCAATCAGTGATATTTAAAGGTGTATCTTCCGAGGAACCAGTGAAGGATTACTTGTTTGCTCGTGATGAGCTGTTACAAGCACAAGAAGCAAGGTAAAAGAAAGATGTTTCCTTGTTTTAGTTTTGAAAGAAAGGTGTATCTGTTTCTTCCATTCCATGTATATTGAAAGTTTGATTATACTGCAAGTCGTGTGGTTAGATTGTTTATCTTAGTTAGGAGTCGTATGGTTAGATTGTTTATCTTAGTTAGGAGTCGTATGGTTAGATTGTTGATCGTAGTTAGGAGTTGTATGGGTTGATTGTTGATCTTAGTTAGGAGTTGTGTGGGTTGATTGTTGATCGTAGTTAGGAGTCATATGTTAGATTGTTTACCTTAATTATAAGTCATATGGTTAGATTGTTTATCTTAGTTAGGAGTCGTATGAGTTGATTGTTGATC